GTGAAATTTGCATTTTGTTTATTTTGTTCTATAATCTTACTTGTCTGCACCACACATTTAAAAACTTTTAGGGCTTTATAATTTTTCAAGGTACAGCAGTTAAATATTTTTTAAAAAGATTTATTTATTCTACTTAAAAGAGTTACAGAGAGGAACAGGTAGAGAGAGAGATAGAGAGAGAGAGAGAGAAAGTCTTCCATCCATTGGTTCACTCCCTAAATGGCAACAATGGCTGGGGCTGGGCTGATCTGAAACCAGGAGCCAGGAGCTTCTTCTGGGTTTCCCACATAGTGCAGGGGTCCAAGGACTTGGGCCATCTTCTACTGCTTTCCCAGGCCATAGCAGAGAGCTGGATTGGAAGTGGAGCAGCTGGGATTCAAACAGTTGCCAATATGGGACACTGGCACTGCAATTGGCAGTTTTACTCGCTGTGCCACAGCACTGGCTCCACAAAATTCTTGTTTAAAAACATTTTTGACTGTTCTTAGTTGTTTATTTTTCTAGATCACTGGTTTTCAAACTATGCATGGCAGAGCTCTTTGGTTTCAAAGGTGCCAGTTTCTATGAAGACAGGGGTTGTGATCATGAATGGAGGCCGAATAGGCAGGGCTGTTCCACTCTTTGTTCAAACACGAAAGTTTAACTTTTACCAGTTTCATAGACCTGTAACAATTAAAAACACCATGATTTTCAGAAACTAATACCATTTACTTTGTAAACCATGCAGTTTCTGTGAATAAATCTATTGAAATATTAAGTAAGTTATATATGTAGAAAATTATAAAATGTTACTGAGCAACATTACAGAGGAGTTAAGTAAATGAAGAGATACTCATGGTCATTTTAAATAAAACTCAGTATTGTAAATATGTCAACCTCTCCCAGCTCTTGACATTTGTCATTTAACTACAGATTTAATGTAATGGTAACCAGCACTCCAATAGGTCTTTTACCTAGAATTTGCCAAATAACATTTATGTTGAAGATAAACAGGCTAAGAGTTGCTAAAATTCTTCTGAGGAAAAAGTAAGGAGAAATTAGTTATCTGTATATTAAGACAGCATAAGGCTACAATAATTAAAACTTTTAGTAAGGCATAGACAAATTATCCAATTCAACAGAATAAAGAGCCTAGAAACAAACTTGGTGTATGGAAATTTACTATCTGACAGAGGTGGCATAGCAGATTAGTGGAAAAATGGAACTTGGATAATTGGTTATTAATATGGGGAAAACATTAGATCCTTGTGTCATACAATACACAAAATTTCAATCCAACATAAAAAAGTTAAATATGAAAAGCAAGATTTTTATTTTTATATTAACACATGACTAAATATTTACTCTGGCCTCAGATCACAAGAACATTTCTTAAGGTGAAAATGACAATTATGAAATAAATTTTGATAAATTCTCCTATATCAAAATTAAGAACTTCTATTCATTAAGACTCTGGTGTGAAAAAGCAAAATACAGAGGGCCCAGTGGGTTAAGCTGTGGCCTGCAGCACTGACATCCCATATGGGTGTTGGTTTGAGTCCCAGCTGCTCCAGTCTGGTCCAGCTCCCTGCTAATGTGCCTGGGAAAGCAGCAGAAGATGGCCCATGTCCTTGGGCCCTTGAACCCATGTGGGAAACAAGGAAAAAGTTCCTGGCTTTGGCCTGGCCTGGTCTATCCCCAGTCATTGCAGCTTTTTGAGGAATAAACCATCAGATGGAAGATCTCTTTCTCTGCCTCTCCTTCTCTCTCTGTAACTCTTTCAAATGAATAGATAAATCTTAAAAAAAAACCTCAAAAAACGAAATACAATTTGGAATATGAAAATTACAAAATATTGACCAATAAAGGAATAGCATAAAAACATATAAAGAATTGCAAATAAAGAAAAAGACAAGCTAATAGAAAAACAGACACAAAATATAAACAGGCAAAGAAACATACATGGTTCATAAATACATGAAGAGATGCTAAGCTTCACTTGTATTTGTAGAAATGCAAATCAAGACAGGTCAGAATTCCCACAGATTTACTTCTAAGGGTAAAGTTAAAGACTTGTCATGGGACTCCAAATCCATTAAGTTTGGTGGTAAAAATGCCATCTTAATTGTTAAAGTGATCACATTCAGTGTTAAAGTGAACATATAGATAGGATTGTTAAAGTGATCATATAAATAAGATCAAGTGTTTGGTAATAATACTGGATAGAATTAAAAAGGATACAATGTTTCAACATGGGAAGCAGTCCACACAACAGTCTCACAGAATGACAACTGCTTTAAGTAACACTGACCTCAGAATCAGCCCTTAAGGCTTCCTGGTATAGCTGAAAAGCCCATGAGAGCATTTCAGGCATGGAAAGTCAAGACACTGGCAAAAAATGTTCTACATGAAGGATCTCTGTGAGTGAGACTCCAGTGGAAGGATGTGGAAGGCCATCAAAGAAGGATGTACTTTTCTCTAAAGGGAGGAGAGAACTTCAACTTTGCTCATGGCCTTGTCCAAATACTGACAGAGTTTGTAGACTGGAAAGGTTTCAATAGCCTAGGCAGCTCATGTCAAGAGCCTTGGGTAGTCACTGACGTCATATATAAGAGTGTTAATTGTTAAACTAATAACAGGAGTCACTGTGCACTAACTCCCCATGTAGGATCTCTGTCCTCAATGAGTTGTATTTTGAGAATTAACTGTAAAACTAGTTTTTAAACAGTTTGTGTGTGTGTGTGTTCATGTTGTTGAAATCTTTACTTAGTATAGAGTTGGTCTTCTTTGTACAAAGTTAATTGAAAATGAACCTTAATGGAGAATGGGACTGGGAAGGGGAGAGGGAGGAGGAGGAGGAGTGGTGGAGTGTGGGTGAGAAGAATAACTATATTCCTAAAGTTGTACTTATGAAATTTGTATTCCTTAAAAAATAAATTAAAAAAGGTAATTAAGTTTCTAAAAAAACAAAATAAACAAACAAAAGACAGGTCACAGTGAGATAACACTTAAAATTGTGATAAAATATACATAATACAAAATTTACCATTTTCAGTATTTTAAAGTGTACAATTCAGTGCCTAGTAGACCCACAGCGCTCTACTATGATGATCATATCTAGCTTCACCCGCCATGCCACAGCGCTGGCCCTCAGCATAACATTTTAAAGGTCTACCCACTTAGAACGTATTATGGCTTTTAATTTCTTTTTATGGCAGAATAATATTCCATTGCTTATTGAGTCATCAGGTAATGGACTTCTGAGTTCCTTCTACTTTTTTTTTAAAGTTTTATTTATTTATTTATTTGAAAGTCAGAGTTACACAGAGAGAGGAGAGGCAGAGAAAGAGAGAGTTCTACTTTTTAGCTATTGTGAATCGTACTGCAATGGACTTTAGTGATATAACACTTTGCAGGCATTTGGCAGAAATTAGACAAATGATACCTAACATTGAAGAAAGCTTTTTAAGGGAATGTTGCTGATGTGAGCATAAACTTGTTTAATCATGTTAAAACAAATCTTGGCATTATCTTGTGAAATCGAGCATTCATACACTCTGATCTAGCAATTTCACTCCTAGGTATATACTCAAGAGGAGCTTTAGCATATAGGTATTAGGAAACATATATAAGAAAGTTTCTCCTATGAGCAAAAAACTTGAATTGCTCACGTGTGTACCAGCAGACATTTCTTTCAGGGAGTTCTGTTCAAGTGAGTTCTGCTCTAACTGGAAGGAAACAATTGGAGCAGTAATGGTAGGTGAACTTGATTTTTTATTTTTTGGTTGGAAGGAAAAAATAGTATGCTTATATGCTGAAGCACTGATTCAGTGGACGTGATGGTGGGAAGTGAGAATTTCTAGAGAATTTGATTCCTCTCTTAATCTCAGTTTGTATACTATTTCTGGAGGGGGCTGTACATACCAGTTTTAAGTTTTACCTATCCTTCACTTGCCCTCTTAAGCTGCTATATCAACTACAAGTGAATATCCAAAGGACATTTGTTTCACTTCTCTGTCTCCTACAGAGAATTTGATTTGTCCACATTCCTTTTCTCCACAGAAATCAGATCCAATTTACAGATGCTTTATGCCTTCATTCAGATTATCATGCAACAATCAAAACAAATAAACTTACATACCACAACATGGATGAATCTTAGTAACAAAATGTTGAATGAAAAAGGCAAAGGGAAGACTACATGTTAAAATGCAATTAAAATTAAACAGTTTGTATTTGAGACATACTACTCTATATGTGGTAACATGAATGCAAAAAAATTCAGGACAATGATTATTCCTGGGAGGAAGACAGGAGGACGAGAACACTAGCACACAGATCTAAAGCACTGGTAATCTCTGAGATCTGTGATTCTCAAATTTTAGTGTGCATCAGAATCACCTGGATAACTCTTTATTAAAACCTGAACTATTGGGACTCACCTCTAGAGGTTCTGATTCAGTAGGAAAGGCACTGGGCCTGAGAATATGCATTTCTAATCAAGTTCTAGCTGCTGGTTCTGCTGTTGGAGAACCACTTCCAGCTCTTAGGTTGGTTTGTGGGGTCACAGATGTTCCATTCTATTTTGTTAGTGCACATCCTATTGTTTTTAAACTTAAAAATTACAATCACATACCATATTGAGAGTGTTATGAACTATGGATTAATATTAATCCAATTCTGGACTCCTGAGTCTAGTCTCAGAAGACTTAAAATTTCCTTACTAAAAGAAAACCTGGAAATCACTGTGCTAGAGGGGCTTTAAGACTTTAAAAGAAAATTAACTATTTTTAAGAAATAAATTTCAAAATTAATTCTTACTAATGTACACAGCAATATATTGCATGTCACCTCCGCAGTTCCCAATAATCTTTGGTAAGGACTTGGCGCACCACAGATCCACCACTTTTATTGAGTCAACAAAAACTGATTAAAGATTTCCCCTTTTTCAGTTCTTATCCTTTAAGTGTTCTGGGGAATTATTTTTCTTTTCTTTCTTCCTTCCCCTCTCCCAGACTTACTTAGGTTCTGAGATGAAATTTACATGCAGACTAAGGCATAGGTGGAGGTCATTCTCTGTCCTGCAGTATGCCAGCCTGTGACAGGGGTTTTTAGAAATGCCTGAATATGTGAGATTTTTGCCACAAGCAGCTCAGCCTAGAAGGGGAAACAGATGCATAAATATAAGATCTCAACTCAAAGCACGAAACTCAGGATGTCACAAAAAAGTGATCTTGTTTGACAACTTCATGAAACGTAGCTCTCTATGACTCCGTTGATAATCTCCCCACCCCCGGCCTTAAACGGGTGGAGGGAGAGGGCGCGGGGGCAGGCTGGTGATCGCGGGCGGACTTCATTGGTCGTTCAACCGGAAGCAGCGGCGCGGCCGGCTGCGCATGCGCCCCTCACACGTGCTGCCCGGACACCGCCTCCGCCGATACGGGCCGGCCGGCACCATGCTGCGGGTTTGTGTCCGGCCGTTAGGACGCCTGGGGACCTTTAAGGTTTGTTTCCAGGGGTACGTTGGCCCACGCCACTATAGTTCGAGCTCTTTTAGCGGCAGCGACGATTCTCGCGACGCGCGCGCCTACTTTACCACACCCATTTTCTACGTGAACGCGGCGCCGCACATAGGACACCTGTACTCGGCGCTACTGGCGGACGCCCTGTGCCGCCACCGTCGCCTCCGAGTTCCCAGCGCCACCGCCACGCGACTCTCCACCGGTACCGACGAGCACGGCCTGAAGATTCAGCAGGCGGCTGCCACGGCGGGCCTGGCCCCAATTGAGCTGTGCGACCGAGTCTCTTCCCAGTTCCAGCAGCTTTTCCAGGAGGCAGGGGTCTCATCGACCGACTTTATCCGCACCACGGAGGCCCGGCACCGGCTGGCTGTGCAGCACTTCTGGGAGGTGCTCAAGGCCCGGGGGCTGCTGTACAAGGGGCTCTATGAAGGCTGGTATTGCGCCTCGGACGAGTGCTTTCTGCCTGAGGCCAAGGTCACCCGGCAGCCAGGCCCGTCTGGGGAGTCCTGTCCTGTATCTCTAGAGAGCGGGCATCCAGTTTCTTGGACCAAGGAAGAAAACTACATTTTTAGGCTTTCCCAGTTCCAGGAGCCGCTCCGACAGTGGCTGCGGGGCAACCCTCAGACCATCACCCCGGAGCCATTCTATCACGCAGTCCTTCAGTGGCTGGAGGAGGAGCTGCCAGATCTGTCGGTGTCTCGCAGGAGTAGCCACTTGCATTGGGGCATTCCGGTGCCCGGGGACGACTCGCAGACCATCTACGTATGGCTGGATGCCCTGGTCAACTACCTCACTGTAATTGGCTACCCAAATGATGAGTTCAAATCTTGGTGGCCGGCTACCTCTCACATCATAGGTAAGGACATTCTCAAATTCCACGCCATTTATTGGCCTGCCCTCCTCTTAGGGGCTGGATTGAGCCCACCACACCGCATCTGTGTCCACTCTCATTGGACAGTCTGTGGCCAAAAGATGTCCAAGAGCTTGGGCAACGTGGTGGATCCCAGGACTTGCCTTGAACACTATACTGTGGATGGCTTCCGCTACTTTCTTCTTCGGCAGGGCGTTCCCAACTGGGACTGTGACTATTATGATGAAAAGGTTGTTAAGTTACTGGATTCTGAGCTGGCAGATGCCTTGGGAGGTCTCTTGAACCGATGCACTGCCAACAGAATAAATCCTTCTGGGACCTACCCAGCTTTTTGTACCACCTGCTTCCCCAGTGAACCAGGGTTGATGGGGCCATCAGTTCGTGCTCGAGCAGAGGACTACGCTCTGGTGAGAGCAGTGGCCACTTTGCCCAAGCAGGTAGCAGACCACTTTGATAATTTTCAGATCTATAAGGCTCTGGAGGCAGTGTCTAGTTGTGTCCGGCAAACTAATGGTTTTGTCCAAAGACATGCGCCCTGGAAGTTGAACTGGGAGAATCCAGCGGATGCCCCCTGGCTAGGTACTGTGCTTCATGTGGCCTTGGAATGTTTGCGAGTCTTTGGAACTTTGCTTCAGCCTGTCACCCCAAACCTAGCTGATAAGCTGCTGTCTAGGCTGGGGGTTTCTGCCACAGAGAGAAGCCTTGGAAAGCTCCGTTTCTTGCCTCGATTTTATGGACATCCCTGCCCTTTTGAGGGCAGGAGGCTGGGACCTGAAACTGGGCTTTTGTTTCCAAGACTGGACCAGTCCCGGGGTTGGCTGGTGAAAGCCCACAGGACCTAGAAACTCTGTTCTTAGTGGTTTGTGGTAAAAAAGCAAATAGATTACTTTTCATTTTCAGGAAAGTTATACCAGTGTTTTCTAAAGTGTTGCATCATATGAGCCCATAAGTGGTGGTGTCCCTGTGTAGGTTTGTAGCCTTTCAGATTCCTATCCCGTTGTTCATTCCTCTGTACTGGTTAACCACTGTTCTTTGCACACTAGTGTCTAACATGTCTCAGATGGGTACAAAACAATATTGCTGATACTGTTTATTCTCATTGTGACTCCTTCCAAACTAGAGTTATTTGCTTAAACTACCTCTCATGGCTTCTGCCTCTCATGCTAATTATAATTAGTATATGTAGTGACTCCTTTTATTAAAAGTAGGGTTTGGTGGTCTCCAACCTCATCTTTTATTGTTAGATATCTTTGGTCGCCTGTTAAAAAAATTAAACTCTCAAAAATGGTGATCCAGAACATGATTTTTGTTTATATTCATCATTCTTAAATCTACAAGTAGGATTCTATACTTTTGTTAGGTAAAGTCTGATGGTGTTTTGTAACATTACCTTTCAGCCAGTAGATGGCTCTAGTCTCATTCAATTAAGATTGAACCGTCAGACAATTTAGAATAGTTTTCTGCTTTCTAGTTTTGGAGATCTTTGAATTTTGATTGTCTTTCTTAAAATAAGGGATAACTGCTTACAACCACTGCTGTTTTAACAGAAAGCAATAAAAACTATCTCAGTTTTTTTTTCAGACTACTGCAAATAATATTTACTCTGTTAAATGTTTAAGCTAGTAGGTATCAAGTTGTTTATATGATAAACTGTAAAGCTCTCGAAGTACGTGGTAACAAATTTTAAACTTTAATGTTAGATTATAGGTATAATGTAAATAATACAATGATATAGGTATAATGTAAATAAAAATATCAATGGGGAATATTTTGTTTTTTAATACACCTGTTATCCACAAACAATTTACCTCATGTAACTTTTTTGGTCTGTTAGGATCTATGATACAATACAGAGATTGTGTAATAGTTATTATAGATGTTAATATGTTTATGTTTACTTTCAAATAATTTTTTGCTGATTATTTTGCTCTTTTAACTTAATAAAGTTTAAAAGTTTGTAAGTACCTTATTCAGGTCTGTTCTGTTGCACTTGTTGAAGGTGACGGTGAAGAGAGGAATTGATCCAAGAAACTCAAACTGGATTTAGGGATCTCGCCAAGGCTCCATAAGGAAACACCAGAGATGTTAACAACTTATAAAAGGCCTACAACATAGTAAGCCAGTGTTATAGGTGATTGGACTGCTAGGCCAAAGTTTGAGAACCTATTTTAAGTATGGTAGCAAGCAAAGAGGGCTCACCATGAAGTAAACTATTATGCTGATAGTCTCCCCAGATTTATTCTAGGTGCCACCATTTGACTTCTGTTTATTAATCAGCAAGGTGAGGAGTTTCCAGTTGCTTGGAAACATTGCTTGGAAAAGAATGCTTGACACTCTAAGGGTGGAACATCTGTTTCCACAAATGTTCCTTAAGAATTTGCTTATTCATAATTCTGGACATTTCATATAACATATTCTAGTGACCTAACTGGGATTCCTAGGCTGACCACTGTGGGATAGCATACTCCTAATAGTATCTCCTGGGCTGGATAGAGCAGAGGGTGGTCAAATATGGTATGTGTTCAGATTTAGAAAACTTGTGGGGTGATAGCTTCTGCTTTTGAAGTACCCTTATAATAGTTACAGTTCCTACCATGGACGGAACAGTATTTTCAACTTGAATTCTTTCCTGTTGGTTGTGCTGGACAATTCACTGGACCTTGGTTTGCTGGAAAGTCTGATTTTTGGGGCCAGCGCTGTGGTGCAGTGGGTTAATGCCCTGGCCTGAAGCCGGTTCTAGTCCTGGCTGCTCCTCTTCTGATCCAGCTCTCTGCTATGGCCTGGGAAAGCAGCAGAAGATGGCCACAAGTCCTTGGGCCCCTACACCCGCGTGGGAGACCCGGAAGAAGCTCCTGTCTTCAGATAGGCACAGCTCCGGCCGTTGTGGCCACTTGGGGAGTGAACCATTGGATGGAAGACCTCTCTCTCTACCTCTCCTCTCTCTGTGTTACTCTGATTTTCAAATAAATAAATAAATATTAAAAAAGAAAGTCTGATTTGTGCAGGCACTTACTGGCTATCAGCATATTTGTAGTTCCAGAAGGTACAAGAAAACAGGGTACCAGTTTAGAGAAGGTGTATTTATTACAAAATACAGGATATTTTTTGGGTGGTTGAGCATGGTAAATTGGATCTGACTTTTGTGGTGAAACGTAAGACGAATCAGATTCTCTGTAGAAGGCATAATAGGTAAAGCAAATATTTTTTGGGTACTTGCTTGATAGTTTGATATATTCCATCCGTTTAAGAATGGCAAATGGAGAGGTGAAATTTAAAATTGGAGGGCATGTACTTCCAACAGGGGGCATCCTAGCCACTTCTGGCAGAATATGATAGCTTGTAGAGCTCTAAGACTCCCCCTACTTCAGAAAAGTGTTCATGGGCTGTCACATTAGAAGAATTAAGAACAAGATGTTGGGCCTGATGCTGTGGCATAGTTGGGAAAGCCGCTGCCTGAAGTGCCAGCATCCCATATGGACACTGGTTCAAGTCCTGGTTGCTCCACTTCCAATCCAGCTCTCTGCTATGGCCTAGGAAAGCAGTAGAAGATGGCCCAAGTCCTTCTGTCCTAGCACCTACGTGGGAGACCTGGAAAAGCTCCTGACTCCATTTGGAGAGTGAACCAGCAGATGGAAGACCTCTCTTTCTCTAACTCTGCCTCTCAAATAAATAAATAAAACTTTTTTTTTTTTTAAAAGATGTCAGCTCAGTAGACTATAGTCTTACCTATTAAGTACCTATAAGAAGTAGCAGTCCATGTATATTTTAAGTAGCACCATTGTATACCAGAGGACTATTTCACAAATGAAGTAATAGATTAGGTACCTCAAGTTAGAAAACCTGTGGCTGTAGGGAGGAGCAAGAAATAGACAAAATCTTTGATTTAACCGAAACCTTAGTTATTCTGGAAGGAGACTTGAACATCTTTTTTTTCCTGAGGATGTGTGGACTTTGTGGGGGCTATGAAGAGCTTAAGAAACTGGATATAAAGTTTTTGCCAGAGTGCTTCAGAAAGCCCTAGGCTGGAAGATAGGCCCCAGGGCACAGGCCTTTCATTTTTTGCAAGGTTGTACTTGTGATTGTGATATAACTGTAGATCATGGAAGTTCTGAAAGTGAAGTGAAGCTAGTTATCTGATCAGGTTGCAGGCCTCTAACAAGAATTGTTGAGTAGTAGCTAGTGACAGTTTTAAGCATTCAATAGATTCCTTTGGGTGTTATGGTAGGGATGGTTTTATGGATCTCTGTCTGCCCCACTTCTACCAAGTATGTAGTGACAGTGTTGGCTTGCATTCATGTAACACTGGATTTATGGAGAAGGCATAGCCTCCTGGCTAAGGCTTAGTTCATAAAGCCGCTGCATGATAATCTGTAATTACCCACTGGAGGCAATGTCCTGTTATCATAATTCTGTCAGACATAGAACAACTGTTCTTACTGGTGAGGTTATAGGGTGCTGTAAACCTTGGTGAATTCTTGCCTTGTGTTTTGCTCCAGAGTGAACAGTAGTGCACCTAAAAGAGTGTAGACATATTGACAGTCATATGTCCATTTTTGCAGCAAAAGTAGGAATTTAGAGTCTGGACAGGGATAGGCACAGGTTCTAGAAGAAACCCTTTGAATCTCCAGCAGAACTAAGTGTGAAATATGTCATTTCAGCACAACACAACTGGCCCTACTTTCTTGTAGGAGCTTTGGATACAATTGGTTAACTCTCACCAAGAGGAACACACCAAAATTGGAGGTTATTATTATAAGTGTCAAAACAGTAACAATAATTAAAGTTAATTAGTGTGGATTGTAATCTCTCAAGAAGAGTGTCTTCCTCTTTCTAGACACAGCATAGGAGAAGCCCAGCTGAAGCTGTTATTCTGTATCACCAATAACTACTTTCAGCAGAGAAGGGACTAACTAATTAGAGATGAAATTGACTTCTTTGAATAGTTTTTAAGTAGTCTCTGGTTACCCAGAATAGATCTCCTGAATTAAGGTGGTAACTATCTAAGCCGGAACAGTTGATCACATGTAAACACTATTTTTAGAACTGTATTACATTAGTTTCTACTTACATTTCCATGGTTAGGGAAAGGAAATGAAGAGCCCTACACACCAAGAGAATTTTTCTATGGCCCTGACAACTAGAAATAATGTATTCTTTATTTTGCCTCTTCTTCTGAATAGCTACTGGGAGGTTTAGCCATACCTGGATCTTCACAAAGTAAGAGTATAATATGAAAGTTTCATTCTTGGCCATGAATTGAATGAATTTCAGCTTCTTTAGGCTTTGGCACAATTTACTCACCACGGATTTTCAAATGTACAGCTCCTCACTTAAGAACAGGATGGTGTGAGATGTCAGGATATTTCAGGAAACCAAGCCACCTGCAAGAAGACAATTATAGCTCCAAGGAGAGATGAGCCCTGCCCTTCAGTCATTAAGGATTTTTGGATGAAACATCTATCTTCAGGGAGCCTGGATGACTTACTGGGTAAGCCAGAGGGATAATGGTAGGAATAACCATGGAAATGGAGGATGCCACCTTTCTTGGTGTATGGAATGGGGGAAATGGGAACAACTTTCCTATGCTACCACTCTTCTGCACTTATCTCTCACTAGTTGGCAATCTGGTTTATGGGATTTAACATTAAGATGAAGTTTCAAAAATTAGACTCTGATTTATTGTTACAGATTGGAATGATTATTCTCTTCAGTAAAATTATTTTTTCCTAATTAAAATATATTTAGAAGGATAATACATTTTATATTGGAATACATTAAAAACAATTTCAGTAGTTTGGCTTCTTTGAATTAGCTATATATTAAAATATGAAGTTAATAAGCAATATATAGGCCGGAACTGCGGCTCAATAGGCTAATCCTCCGCCTTGCGGCGCCGGCACACCAGGTTCTAGTCCTGGTCAGAGCACTGGATTCTGTCCTGGTTGCCCCTCTTCCAGGCCAGCTCTCTGCTGTGGCCCGGGAAGGCAATGGAGGATGGCCCAAGTACTTGGGCCCTGCACCCCATGGGAGACCAGGAGAAGCACCTGGCTCCTGCCTTCAGATCAGCGTGGTGCGCCGGCCGCAGTGCGCCAGCCGTGGCGGCCATTGGAGGGTGAACCAACAGCAAAAGGAAGACCTTTCTCTCTGTCTCTCTCTCTCTCACTATCCACTCTGCCTGTCAAAAAAAAAAAAAAAAAAAAGCAATATATATATATATTTTAGGTTAATCACACCAAAATAATATAAATAGCATGTATTTTTTTCATGAAAGATGAAAAAAACTCAATCCATTGGAAGATGGGAGGGATTAAAAGGCAAACAAAAGGGAAAAATATAGTAAATAGAAAACTCATAATAAGATGGCAGAAATAAAAACAAATATGTGTAATTAAAACTCCCTGTCAGGGCTGGCACTATGGCGTAGCAGGTAAAGCTGCTGCCTGCAGTGCTGGCATCCCATATGGGTGCCGGTTCAAGTCCTGGCTGCTCCACTTCAGATTTGGCTCTCTGCTATGGCCTGGGAAAGCAGTAGAAGGTGGTCCAAGTCCTTTGGCCCCCTGCATCCACATGGGAGACCTGGAAGAAGCTCTTGGCTCCTGGCTTCAGATTGGCTCAGCTCCGGCCATTGCGGTCAGTTGGGGAGTGAACCAGTGGATGGAAGACCTCTCTCTCCTCTCCTTCTCTCTTGTATAACTCTTTCAAATAAATAAATAAATCTTTTTTTTTAAAAAACTTTCAAAAGTCAACAATGTTCAATATTAAATATAGAAAGTCATACATGCAGTTAAAAGGGATGTACTTAAAAACAGAGAAAATAATACATGAAGAAAAACATTAGGCATATTTAACTAAAAGAAAGTCGACTTAGCAATGTTTGACAATTTATACTGAGGGGATGGACGGTCACTATTAAAGATACAGTAAGACTTAATATAAAAATATAAAAGGGGGGTTAGCTTGTGGTGTAGTGGGTAAAACCACTACCTATGAAGCTGGCATCCCATATGGGCAGTGGTCCATATCCCGGCTGATCCATTTATGATCCAGCTCCCTGCTATGGCCTGGGAAAAGCAGCAAAAGATGGCCCAACTGGTTGGGCCCTATTGGCTTGGTCCAGTGCTGGCTGTTGTGGCCATTTGGCGATTGAACCAGCAAATGAAGATCTCTCTCTCTCTCCCTCTCTCTCTCCATTTCTGACTTTCAAAATAAGTAAATGAATAAATAAATCTTTTTTTTAAATAAAGGGAATAATGTACCAAAGTTATAGCAATTATAAACTTGTATGGTCTAATAATAGCTTCTAAACTGTAAAAATCTAATATTAAAAATTATAAGAAAAAATAAAGGCACAGGAAAGAATGGATGTAAAAAATTATAAGAAAATGAAACTGCCACTCATGAGTTCAGAGAAAACCATGTAACTAGAGAACAAAAATACAACTACTCATGCTAGACACTAGCATTTCAGTTTTTAATGCTTACCACCAAATGTATCCTCACTGTAGAAAAAAACCACTTACAAGTTTTTGTGACTCAAAATTTTGTCTTTTTTCCATTCAGACCTCTGTGAAAAGAACACTCTTTTCCTATAGAACTGTCAGCCAAATATATCTGTTCAGTAAGTCCTTTCAATGAGTTGCTAATATGAGAGAATCTGATGGCCACGATTTTGCCGAATTTTCTACCTTGGTTCAGTAATAAGTAAAAGTGAAGGGAGAGAACCAAAGGTTCTATGTTCCTTATTTGTGTTCCCTCATTTACTTCTCCCATCAACTATCAAGTGAGATAACATTCTAAGTTTAGCTGATGAGAAACTGAGGCACAGAGATTAATTAACTTGGCCAGGGTTTTACAGTTTAGAAAAAAACAGAAGAACCTTGGGGCTGGCACTGTGGGTAACAGGTAAAGTTGCCTCCTGCAGTGCTGGCATCCCATATGGGGGCCGGTTCAAGTCCTGGCTGCTCCACTTCAGATTTGGCTCTCTGTTATGGCCTGGGAAAGCAGTAGAAGATGGTGCAGGTCCGTCGGCTCCCTGTACCCATGTGGGAGATCCAGAAGAAGCTCCTGGCTCCTGACTTTGGCGGGCATGGCTCTGGCCATTGTGGCCATTTGGGGAGTGAACCAGTGGATGAAAGCTCGACCTCTCTCTCTCTGTCTCTCTGTAATTCTGCCTTTAAATTAAATAAATAAATTTTTTTTTTTTTTTTTTTTTTTTTTTTAAATAGAAGATTCAGGGCCTGGCACTGTGACACACTGGGTTAAAGCCCTGGCCTGCAGCACCAGTGTCCTATATAGGCCTTGGTTCGAGTCTCAGCTGCTAGGCTTCTGATCCAGCTCCTTGCTGGTGCTCCTGGGAAATCAGCAGAGGATGGCTCAAGTACTTGGGCCCCTGCATCTTTGTGAGAGACTTGGAAGAAGCTCCTGGCTCCTAGCTTTGGATCTGCTCAACTCTGGCCATTGTGGCCATTTGAACAGTGAACCAGCGGATGGAAGACCTCTTTCTCTCCCTCTGTCTTTACCTCTCTGTAAGTGTCTTTCAAATAAATAAAATAAATTAAGAATAAAAATAGAAGAACCTTAGCACCACTGTTAGCACCAACACCACAATCACTGAGGACTATACTGAAGACATAGTTTTAATTATTTTGAGCAAGAGGATGTAGTATCAAAAGGCATTAAAGTCCTTGCTAGCTCAGAAGGCCAAGAAGACCTACATTTTTATAATATATGTTAACTAATCTCTTCAGGATTCTGTTTAAATGCAAGTAACACAGTTCCATAGTTATCAAGGTGCGATGGGTACTTTATCAGTTTTGTTTTAGTAGCAGAAATCATAATAATGCATTATAAAAAAAGTCATACATATACAGTTACCTTTAAAAGTCACTTACTAAAAGAATTTAAGGATTTCTTAAAGAATCTCCAATTATGTATTTTAGGCATGGAAAGCCAAGACACTCTGGCAAAAAAAAAAAAAAAAAAAAAAAAAGCAAAAAAAAAAAAACCTAAATGCGAGTGAGATCCCAGTAGAAAGAACAGGTCATCAAAGAAGGAGGTACCTTTCTCTGAAGGCAGGAGTGAACCTCCACTTTGACTATGACCTTGTCTAAATAAGATCGAAGTCGGCGAACTCAAAAGGCCTCCATAGCCTTGGCAACTCAAGACAAGAGCCTAGGAAGATTACTGAGGCCATAAACAAGAGTGTCAATTTGTTAAGTCAACAACAGGAGTCACTGTGCACTTACTCCTCATGTAGGATCTCTGTCCTTAATGTGTTGTTCAATGTGAATTAAGGCTATAACTAGTACTCAAACAGTATTTTTCACTTTATGTTTCTGTGTGGGTGCAAACTGTTGAAAGCTTTACTTAATATATAAAGAGAATTGAAAATGAATCTTGATGTGAATGGAAGGGGAGAGGGAGCGGGAGTTGGGAGGGTTGCGGGTGGGAGGGAAGTTATGGGCGGGGGAAAGCCATTGTAATCCATAAACTGTACTTTGGAAATTTATATTTGTTAAATAAAAGTTAAAAAAATGAAAATTGGTCATTATGGAAAAAAATCTCCAATTATGTTAAATTGACACTACTCCACTTTTTATATTTAAATTTCTACAAAACTTACAGAAACTTCCTGCATTTTACATATAAAACAAAACCTTTAAATACTGAGTATGATTTTTAACACATCACTGGAATGTAACTAAATAAATCAAGTTATAATGTATAATAAGCCTATTTTGATATTACAGAAGAAAATTATAAGTACTAACATAAAATGATATTGAAAATATGTACAGTTAATTGCATGCAAATTGACGGCTGGATTTTCATGCCATTTTAAGAGTTGGAAGGGGGACTTTTTGCCTGGATAGAAAGGAAATATTTTTGACATTCATTATAACATTGTTTCATCTAGTATAAAAATAATGGTTAGTTAATGCTGAAAGTAGGAATTTTTTTCTCATTTAAATGTTCATATTAAAATTAGTCCCCAGAATATGTTAATTCATAACCATTTTTAAATGAAGCATTTTTGAACGTAACGGATGTCCTAAAATTAATTTTCTCGATGAAAAAGTTTATCTATAGCACTTCTTTTCACAATTGGGGAGACTCTCTAAAAATGGAGCTATTAGCTTTGGGACATAAAAACCAATAAAAATATGTAATTGTATAGCCAAGTGTAAAAATTAGGAAATCAATATGATCCCAGAGAGAAAAACAGAGAAACTTACTGCTTACTGAGAGTAGTGAGAAGGGAACTAGGCAAGTTAGACCATGTTATCAAAACCCTTCATTGGTAAGTTTTTTGAGGTAGATGTTTAAATACTCAGTATCTGAAGGTAAATTATGCCTGAGTTCACATCTTAAAGTCTTTGAAAATAGATAGCTACAGCAAAGGTATAAAAATCTTTCTTGTAAACACAGGATTGTAGCTTTTTCATTTTTTATTTGGCAAAGCAACATCAGGATATTAAATGTGTTTTTTTTTTAACTTTTATTTAATGAATATAAATTTCCAAAGTACAGCTTATGGATTACAATGGCTTTTCACCCCCATAACTTCCCTCCCACCCGCAACTCTCCCCTCTCCCGCTCCCTCTTCTCTTTGATTCACATCAAGATTCATTTTCAATTCTCTTTATGTACAGAAGATCAATTTAGCATATATTAAGTAAAGCTTTCAACAGTTTGCACCCACACAGAAACACAAAGTGAAAAATACTGTTTGAGTACTAGTTATAGCCTTAATTCACATTGAACAACACATTAAGGACAGAGATCCTACATGAGGAGTAAGTGCACAGTGACTCCTGTTGTTGACTTAACAAATTGACACTCTTGTTTATGGCCTCAGTAATCTTCCTAGGCTCTTGTCATGAGTTGCCAAGGCTATGGAGGCCTTTTGAGTTTGCCGACTCTGATCATATTTAGACAAGGTCATAGTCAAAGTGGAGGTTCTCTCCTCCCTTCAGAGAAAGGTACCTCCTTCTTTGATGACCTGTTCTTTCCACTGGGATCTCACTTGCAGAGATCTTTCATTTAGGTCATTTTTTTTTTTTTTTGCCAGAGTGTCTTGGCTTTCCATTACTGAAATACTCTCAATACTCTGATGGGAGTGACTTTAGAGTGTGCCAGAATATTATTATGCATTATGCTATTACATATTATTTCTCAACCTAAATAT